TTTAAGGGAGGGCAAGTTTTAAAGGAGAACTGGGAGTTTTCAATGAAAGTAAGGTGAATAAGTTGTAGGCGGGAAAGGGAGAGAATTGACTTGGCCTTATGGTTGAGAAGGTCTTGACTGTTTGTTGTTTAAAAGTTAGTTTAGGGCTTTCTTATGCTAAAAGGACAGCTGCTGCCAAGGCCCATAAACTGGGGCCCATTCTCGAGATGTGGTATCTAGTTGTTTAGAGAGGTTTGTAACTGGGGAAAAATATCTCCTGTCTTTTGTCCCAAAAACCCAACTGCCAATCTTTGGGTTTTGATGATGTATAGGATAAAAGGATGAGATAGGCTTGATAGAGATACAGCTGGGACCACAAGGAGAGCAGCTTTTAATCGCTGGAAGGGAGAATGAATGGGCTTTGTAGGATCTAAAGGAATGGCAGGATCCCCTTTTGCGGCCCCATAAAGTAGCTTTGCTAGCACACCAAAGTTAGGAATCCATAGGCAAAGAAACCCTGCAAGCCCCAAGAAAGAAAGGATTTCACTCCTTGTGGTAGGAGTAGGGAGTTCAGAAATTAGACTCTTGAACTGAAGAAGAAGAAATTTGGGCCTTGTCCCGGGCTCAGTTTAAAGTCTGGGGGGGGGGAAGTACGAGGTAATAGAAGGTTGGCTTTTTTCCTGAAGAAGATCCCTAATGCATGAAAGAGCAGGGAGATACTGGCCTAAAGGCGATGAGCTGGAAGGGAGAGGTGTGAGAGTGAAGGGCCAACTGTACATAATAAGTTCAAGGGGGCTGAGGCCTGTGGGCTTCTGGGGGGCAGCCCGTAGGCGAGTGAGTGACTGGTGGGGAGGCCAAAACGAGGGATGATTTCTGAGGTGAGAGCATGTGTTACTGCTGTAGCAGCCTCTGAAGTGCAGGGAAAAGCTTCAACCCAATGTGAAAAGGTATCTACTAAGGTTAGAAGAAAGTGGGTCCTTTTGTGGGGAGGGTAATATAAGGGCTGAGGAAGGTGTAGTAGGAGTTCATAGCCTATATGAACTGAATTATGGAAATCTAAAAGGATTTGCTCAGCTTGTGTGGTACGGAGGACATAGCAACTGGGAGACAGTATACCAGTTGTCCTTTCTCTGTGCCCCCAACTGTTGGAGGTGTTGTATTTCTTGTAGTGTGTATAGGGATAAGGGCATAGGGGCCATGAGAAGGACCTAAGCAGGAGAGGAAGAGTCCGGGCCTGGTGACTGAGCAGCCTGTTTTGTGGTTAGATCTGCCAATTTGTTTCCCTGGGCTATGGGGTCATTGGTGGTTTGGTGTCCTCTGCAGTGTATAACCCCAACCTCCTTTGGGAGTTGAGCAACCTCAATAGCTTGTGTTAGATTTACTATGTCATAACCTGCCGGTGGGGAGGGCATGGAGGTGGCACTCCCATCTATGAACCGCGTAATGGGATGTGGGGAGATGTGTGGAAAGGGATTGAGAAAGAGGTCTAAAGCCTCCATGCAATTGTCTTCTAAGGGTCATGAGTGTTTTGGGATAAGAGTGGCTGGATTTTAAGGGAGGGCAAGTTTTAAAGGAGAACTGGGAGTTTTCAATGAAAGTAAGGTGAATAAGTTGTAGGCGGGAAAGGGAGAGAATTGACTTGGCCTTATGGTTGAGAAGGTCTTGACTGTTTGTTGTTTAAAAGTTAGTTTAGGGCTTTCTTATGCTAAAAGGA